AAAGAGATTTTAATGCCACTTTAAAATGATTATCGTGATAATATCGTATAACTTTCTGACATTTTATGGACCAAACAAATAACTGGTTAATAGAAAACACCTGGAGGCCTGATCAATAATATATATTAGCTTTAGTCCCATTTTAGTGATTGGATTATTGATAGACTGAAAGTTTCCTGTAACGTTAGCTTTTCATTCATCCGTCTGTTTGTTTTTCACTTTTGATTTAGTTTTAGTCTCAGTTTCTTTTTGGAAAAGCTTTTTTTGGTTTATTGTTGTAATGAACTCAGAGGATATGAAACACACACACACACACACACACACTCTCATAAAGGCATGCAGTCGCAGCAGTGGACATTCTCACGTACACACTGATTCAATTATTCACTCTCTCTCTCCTCCTCAACATACACTAATGCTCGATCGCTCACGTACACACACCCACTGATTTACAGTAGCACACACACACACACACACACACACACATTCCCAGCATTCCCGCCCCGTCTTCACATGTGTACAGTAAGCCCTTATCATTGTGTGTCTGTGTGTGCTATCAGATGGGACTTCTTAAGAAAACTGGTCAACCCAGTTACAATAGGAATACACACACACACACACTTAGTTAAACTAAGTTATTTTCTTCCTCAGTTTTGTGCCGTCACGTATTTGAGAACATTTCCAAAACTCAGCTCAAACTATCCCGTCTGAAGTTCTGACCGTACTTTATAACAAACGGTTGGATCCTTCCTTACTGACATCACTGTTGTTTACACAACAACAACAATAAGTTTCTATAAGTTCATGCACGAACGGATAATGCAAGTTCATCAAAAAACTTACTTTGGCTTTCATAGAACATCAAGTCTATCAATCTGTTTGCTCAAGAATTTAAAATAAATGATCATTTATTGTTCATTTAATGAATTACTTGTACACAAACAACTTTATTATCGTCTGACTTTCTCTCTGACGTAATCAATAATAATAATAATGACCATATGAATTGGTTCATTCAGTTTCAGCCACTAATCACTGATACTCTGGGCTGAGATACTCTATGTTGTGTGATCAGTGTGTGTGCTGTTGGGTTGGATGAGTGGGCTGGTGCGATGATGTGTGTATTTCTGCCTGTGGTGGTTGTGTGGGCTTGCATGCCGATTCTGTAAGGCCCGAGAGGAGAACAGTTGTGGCTGCTGAAGTGGATCCCGGGCGCGACTGCCAAAGCCCTCACGCTGCCACAGGCGTGCTCGTGCCCCGAGTTAAACCCATCAGCAGGGTCTGGAAACTTGCAAACCTCTGCACACGACCTCCCAGGTAATCTTCCTCTCTCCTCCCTCCCTTCCGGTCACGTCCCACAAGGATAAGATAAAGTCCAATTCAAAACAGCTCGTCGGGAGGCGTTTTTCGTTTTGAGTCGGTGGTATCATTTGCCTCTGCCGCCCAGCCCTCCGTGTTGTCTCTGCATGTTTTCACTGCCTGAGCACTCCATGATATGATGTGTTGTCTGGTGTGTTGTGTCTGTGTTGAGTGCGCCCGCACCGCTGTGTAAAAACAGTTCTTGGCGTGATTTGTCTGCTTCCCTCAGCTCGCCCGGCCTTCGGTTTGGGTTGCAAGGTCGGGCCGGCCTCTTTATCAGCGCTGGCGGGTTTTGTCGCATCAGCCAGCCGGAGGGCAGACCCGACCTACGTGCGGCTCTTTGGCATCCGGTCGCCAGCGCTGCTGCAGGGGCTCGACCCCCCCCACCCTCCCACCAATCCTCCCTCATCACGTTTACAGCAACAGAGTGGGCGGTGGCGTTGCATGCGGCGGGTGTGTAAACACAGACGCTGACGTCAGCGGGGTTACTAAAGGTGTGTTGTTGTTGATGTTGCGTTCAGGGACCCGTGTGTGTGATGGGGGTTAATGTGCGCCTTCCTGTATGCGGTGTGATCGTATAGTAGCCGCAGGGAGCAGGATGTGAGTCTCCGTGGAGCGTGTAGAGCTCCTTGCATGCTTTAGTTTCACAATAAGAGGCGTTTCACAATAAAAGCCCTGTGGAGAACGGGGATGGTGGCAGCGGCGGTTGCAGGTGACACCAGTGAAGTCCTGCTGTAGTGCAGTTTTGTCTCTTTAACGTGTGTCCGTGCTCCCGTTAAATCCGTGATCAAACATGAAACGGGTACATGCGTGCGTCACATAGAAGCTTTAGGTGCGTGTAATCATCGGGGTCAGGTGGCCGCTGACGTCAGTTAATCAGGACTGTTGGTACCTGTCTGAAGAGGTTCTGTTAACAAACGTTTGTTTTAATGAGGGTTCGGTAAGACGAACCAAAAACCTCCTTATTGGAATATGTTGTTATATTTATCATATTATAACGCTCTGAAGGACTTTTTTCCTCTTTACATTTATTGGTTTATATTGAGACTGACTCAGAATCACATTTTTTCTTCCACTTAACGGGATGATTTTACTGTTATATGAGGTTTTATTGTAAAATATAAAGTTAAACTATACAAGGGCCATAAAACACATATTGATTTTGTTTGTTATTAAAGTTTATTATAATAAGTTTTCTGTAAATGAAGTCAAATTTTCTCATACTTTGACTTATTTGTACTTAAAAAAACAAAACTTTTAAATATAAAATACAGTGCTTTAAATTTTGCTGCACTTTTTATAATTTTCTTTAATATCACAAATAAAAACCGACTCTGAGGCTCTGCTGACGTGTTTTTGGTGCATTTTATTGTAGATATTCGTCTTTCCAGTAAACAAAAGACAGTTATAATGTTGGTTAATGTTAATTGTCATTTTACATTGCATAATGATATTCAGGTTCCCTTAATGCAACTAATAAAAACAAATAATATAAACACTGTTGTGTGTGTATATATATTGTATTTGTTATTTTTACGGTAAAAACTGTCAGCCAGAACTTTACTGTAATAAATATAATAGAACTTTTTTTTACTATTACAGTAATAGTAATAGTTTTAATCCATATCTTACTGTATAAATACAAGTTTTTACCATCAACAGAAACAGTTTTGTTGCACTGTAAAAACTGTCAAACAATGACAGTAAAAGACTGTAAAAACTGTAAATAGGTTAAAGTTTCTGTAACAGTAAAACTCTGTGATATCTGATGGCAAAACCTTTGTTTATACTGTATTTTAAAGTAATTTATAGGGAATAAAGTGGTTATTTGAGCAGACTTTAGAGAATATCAGTGTCAGATAACGCGCAGTGAACCGACCTGTAATAACCTCTCAGAGGATCAGCTGCTGGTTTTTCCTGGAAGGAAATCCACAGTTTGTGTCGACTTCGACGTGTTTGTGAATCGTCTGCTGCTCTCGGTTTATCAGCCGCTTCCTGTGCGGGTCAGAAGGTCTCAGCGCAGCGGGGAGGGGACGCAGGGACCCCCCCCCGCCCTCCATCCTGTCTGTAAAAGAAAGACATGATTTAACACGCTGCAGCTTTTTATTGCAGTTTATTAGGGCTGAAGCTCAGAAGTTGAAACTGTTTTCACCTTTTTATCTACTTAAATATTAGTATCGTGAGTTTTCAGTTTTCCTGCCGTTTTTAATCTTCACTGATGTAAACAAACCTTTAACCTTCTAAAAGCAGACCTACTGCGGGCGGCCATTTATAGCATCATCCTGTTTAAATCAATCTAAACTAACAACTATAATAACTAATAACAAACACACCCTCACGCTGTGCCCTCTGGGGGACGTAACTCCAAGAAATGACATCACAATAAACAGAAATACCAATGCAGGGTTAATAATAAGACTCAATAATTGTTAATTAATTGTACAACAAACACTTTCTTCTTTCTTCTTTTAATTGTCTTATAGGGAAAAGAATACATTTTTTCTAAAAATCTAATGAATTCTGCTTATTTTGAACTTTGAACTGCAGCCAAAGTCATGTTACTGTTAGAGGAGAACTGTAAATATAAAATAAAGCAAATGAAGGCGGAGTGTCCCTTTTTTAAATGGAGTTAAATGTATGAACAGTAGGCCTACCAGTAAATATTATGACCGTCTCAGTAAAACTTGTGGAAAATTATATAAAGAGCGGGAACCCCGTTACGACACCAGGGGGGACTTCATCAGAAACAAAAACAAAACCCCCAAAATACTGAGAAAGTGTCTGAATTATTATCTCCTATTTATGATTAATATTGTGACTATAATGACTTTGTGATCCTGAGTCAATATTGTCAGAAGGTTTCTCATTATAATGACCTCCAGAACTGTCAGACATGGTTTTACAGCTCACTTTATTCACCGCTTCAACGTGTTTTCTGTCTGAGGTTGACAGAAACATACCAACAACTGCATGAAAAAATAAACTACTAACTTTCTTAAACAAATTCAGCTTTTTCCCAACTGGCGACTCGACTCTGCCCCAAATATCTGCTGTTTAGTCTGTAACGCGTCCCCGAAAGTAGCCTAAGTCAGAACACACAGACACACAAGAACATGAACATGCATGTATGCAATTTGTGTACGTGCAGCTGAAGCCGTATGCATTCAACCACAACACACCGCTGTGACACATCGACAAGACGTATTGGCAAATATCCACCCACCCACCCACACACAGGAGGAAGTTGGTGAAGATGTCTGTCAACATAACTGACCTTTAACACATCAGCTTTTATTTTGAACAGAAACCGTGTCAGCAGTGCTTCCCTCTTCTTCTTCTCCCTCACTAAATCAGGAGCTGGATTAAGCTCTTAAGTACACGCTATTGTATCATAGAAGAAAAGATGAAAACTGGTAAAAGAAGTACCTTCAGACTTTGAGTTAGTTGTTGTTTAAAGCCCCATTAAAGCTGCAGTAGGTAACCTTTATAAAGTATTAGTTCTATTTGCTGAAGCGTTCGCTGTATCCTGACAGCAGAACATGTATCTGTTTCCTCCCAACGGCTGCTGTGAAAAAGGTCCATTCAGAAGGTCTAATCAAACCTATCTTGTCCTCTGTGTGTGTGTGTGTGTGTGTGTTCAGGCCATGGTGGCGTGTTACCCAGGAAACGGGGCCGGTTACGTCAAACACGTGGACAACCCGAACTTCGACGGGCGCTGCATCACCTGCATCTACTACCTCAACAAGAACTGGAACGCCAAGGTGCGTTGAGTCACGATGTCGTGGGAGAGCAGATTGTAGTGTTTAACGTTGCAGCTGGCTGATGTTTGTTTGTTTGTTTGTTTGTTTGTTTGTTGATCAGGAGCACGGCGGCATCCTCAGGATCTTTCCCGAGGGGAAATCATACGTGGCCGACATCAAGCCGCTGTTCGACAGGCTGCTCTTCTTCTGGTCCGACCGCAGGAACCCACATGAGGTGCAGCCCTCCTACTCCACCAGGTAACCAATCAATCAATCATTTTATCTCCCAGTCGGGGTTATTGATCCACTGATTAGTTTGTGGATACGAATGTAAAGTGCAGCCTTTCACTCAATGACCTGAAAGTGACTTAAATCGTTACCTTACCTTCCATGGCGTATAACACTGAGTGACTATAAATTCATTTCTTTGCTTCTTTAAAATAAACAAAAAGAATAATTTAATTAAAGTAAAAGAAACAATATCAGTGTAAAATTTGTAAAAAAGGAAATAAACTCCAAAAATATATTTAGGAAAACAAAACATCTGCATGTCTGACTGGAAGCTGCTGTCTCTCCTAAATGAACTGACAGAGTTTATAAAGACATTAAAGTAAATGATTGTTTTCTGATGCTGTTAAAAGTTGGTCTCGATCTTTAATCTTTGGAAACAGGAACATCGGTGTGTATTCTCCATTATGATGAGTGAACTGTAATCTGATTGAACTCATTTAAAAGATGCTCGTTTCCTCCAATGTGACGGAAAAAAGGATTTATAATGAGAAACTTTGTTATTCCTTCATTAAAATGACTTACAGAAAATTTTTTTCCGTCACATTGGCACAAATGAGCTTCCATAGTTAGTTTCTGTCTGTGCTGTAATAAAAATACACTGAATAAGATGCTGATAAAGTGTATTTATAAAACTATCAGAGGACAGAAACACTTCATCCACAGGTATTTGGCGCCACCTTCTGGTGTGAATGTGTAACAACAGTTTTTAATTTCGGTGTCTTAAATGGAGGCAATATGTTTATTTCTATTTCTCTCTTCAATGAATGGAAAACCACGAATGTCCTGAGCGTTCAGCTTTGATTAGCTGGTGTTCCTGTCAAATGTATAAATATATAAATATATATTTCACTGCACAGAAAACTGACGTCTGTGTTTGTGTTTCAGGTACGCCATCACAGTTTGGTATTTCGACTCTGAGGAGAGAGCTGAGGCCAAGAGACGCTTCAGAGACTTGACAGGTACATACACACACATGTTTATTCACCTTCTCAACGGCTGCTGTCTCTGCAGTCCGTTTTAAAAAACACATACAGAGAATTTATTTCAGTCTATAATTACACAAACAAACAATGAGGCCAAAAATAAAAAGAGCAGTAGATTTTCCACAGCGGTTGTTTTGACATGAAACAGTCGGGTAATCACAGCTTTCAGCAGTGACACTAATTAAGGCTTTACCCTTTACCCTACTGTCTACAAAGTAAAGGTCTACAGTCGCCACCAATAATAGTAATATTAATAAAACAATAAATGTACATTGATCCCAACCTTTTCTATGTGTGGAGATATCTTAAGAGGAACGATGACAGACTGCAGACACACACTCACTTTTCAAAGTCACTGTTCAACTGAGAGAGTACTCGGTGTCAGCAAGTAAAGATGAATTGTGTAAATACAAAAGATGCATTTGGAATAGAAGAAAACATGTAAAAGGTTACGTACAAACGGCAACAAATCAAAATGCAGTAAAATCAGAACACAAAGATAAGATATGGTTTTATTAATGCTTATAGTGACTTTTAGCAACAAATCTCAAACCAGTAACATGTTAGTGTCTCTTAATCCTCTCTGACTTCCTGTTCAAGCTTAAAAACACAAACAGAGATTCCGTTTTTAAAATAATTTCCTACATTTGAACATAAAAGTGTAGAATAGTTATAGACTGATTAGTTTAGTTGTAGTAAGCGGTGGATCGATATTGATGTTGTATATCAGCACAGGCCAAAGAAAAGTCAGGAATATTCTTTTTCTATTGGAAATCCAGCCATAAGTTCCCAGCAGGATGTACGAGAGTTAAAGCTCGGGGCTTTAAATGCCGACTGATGGGACTACCACCAGCTCTAATGTGATGGTTTTACATCCTGAGACTGACCTGATATCCTGATGTTCTGTGTTTCAGCCTCCACCCAGCAGCAGGGCAGCAGCTCCGGCTGATGGAGAGCAAACATGGCTGCCTGGTGTTTGATCTGCGGGAGAGGACGGCACGATTCCTCAAAGCTTCTGGAAAAGCTGAAAGAAAAAGGACCAAAAAAAAAGTATTTTCACTGTGTTCTGGACTCTGAGGACTCGAGGGTCCGTCGGGGGCTGCAAACAACAACCTGCTGCGTTCAGGTGACCGGCAGCCGCTCTGGACTTTTCCTGCTTTACTTTGTGCAATACTCTTTGCTGACTAAGGGAAACAGCGGACTGCACCTTTAAAGCTTCAGCACGCTTCACAGCAGAGGAGGAGGAGGAGGAGGAGGAGCAGGAGGAGAGGACAGTGTTTACAGAACTGTGGAGAACCATCGTGGAGCTGTTTACTAGTGAATGACAGATTGTGGGCTGGAACTCACAACAGGATGTGTTTAAATCTGCATAACTTTATAAACTGGTGTTTGATGCTAACGCAGGCCGGCGGCGGTGAAATGACCACGGAGAGAGACAGAGTCTGCTTTTCTGTGCAGATCAGTTACGAATTACGAAGAAAAAAGAAAGAAGAGTTCATTTTGTTCATGTTCAGCTCAACAGTCCTAAGCCCCGCCCCTTTCTGCTCTGTGCTCCAATCACAGTTGAGCAACCCTCGGCCAACTTCCTCCTTTTCTGTACGTAGATATGCTATATGCTAGGCTAATCTTTATGTTGAAAAGACGACTACACTAAAAAGATAAACGAACGTTAGCTAACTTAAGATGTGACTAAATGTCTCTTTTACGTGTGGTTGAGCACGCAGCATAAACACAGGAGTACATACAGGAAGCATTAACTGTTAACTGTGGCGGGACTTATGGAGGGTCAATTTAATGTCTACAACATTTAACCTGTAGTAATAATAAGACAATCTTAATGTCCACTTACTAGCTTTTTTTACATCTTTGCACTAAGAAAACTGTGTCTGCAGGAAGACTGAGTCAAGGTTGAAAGCTCCAAAAAAAGCTAATAAGTAGACCTTAAAAGTACAAAAACCCCTCGTCCAAACATGAACCGCCCGCACTCACGTCCACAGCGACAGTCCATCAATCAATCGTTTAATCGTCACGAGGACGGTCCGTACGCAGTCTGTCGGATGAAGCTCGCTGACGGCAGCTTGCTTTGTCCATGTTAGCAAACGTTAACCAGCTAAAACCACAATCTAGTCCACTATAGTAGCTATAGCTCACAGAGACTGTAGTCTCTGAGCTCTCACTTTGCACTTTGTGGTGGTGTTAACTAACGTTGCACACTGAAGGGAAAGCCTCCTTCGGTTTTAGAGAGGAGTCCACAGGTTGTTATTTTAAATGATTAATACATAAAAAAGAGAGTTACGTCTCTTCTTTTGGGACTTTAAACAAACTTATGAAACATAGTTGAATGTGTGTTTCCACTCTGAGCTGCTGCTGCTGAGCGTTACGACTTTGTGATTCCTTCCTTCACTCTCTCCGCTGTGAGTTTTTGCTCCTGAATCTTAAAATGGCCGCCGGCGCTGCAGAAGGACGAAGAGGAGAGAGATTCCACTGATGCAGCAGATTTGACGGGCGGCGTGTGAAGCGGCTGTCACAGACCGACTGTATGAGAGCGGATGAATAATTGATGCTCCGTTCAAACGGCTCTTCGGAGACGTTATTGAGCCCCGAGTCGCCGTCCTGAAAGAATAACGCTCGCTGCCAGCGTGCGCCTTTAAAACTGATGTGTCACTCCGACTGCAGTTAGTGTGTCTGCTGGAAGAGAGACCTTCTGTCTCGGTCCAGATTCTATCAATGCTCTGTAAACTGTTTGTGACACAAACAATAAACGATGCACAACGTAAGACCCTCAGTCTGGTGGAAAGTGAGTTTTCTTTAGAGTTTTCTCAACTTTGTGGTCGAATCTGAAGCTGTAACGTTCATATTATATTTAATCCATAACAATAACAGAGAACACCTGATAAACTGCACGAAGTCTGTGTACAAACAGGAGATCTGGATGCATTTTAAGCAGATTATTATTGATCAGAGATGAGTTTTCCTGATTTTAGGGAACTTTCTATACAATCCTCTGTCTCTATTATGTATTTGTTTTTATTTTTTAACAATCATACAAACTTAACAGGCTTCTTTTTTGCCAAATCAATAAGCTCTGGGTATTTGAGCTGCATACTTTAGGCTGTTTATCAGACAGTGAAGGCTCTGTGAATATAGCTGGTTTAAATTATAATCTAAACTATAAAAAATAACAAATTAAGTTACTCTCCTTCCCATAAATGAAGGAAATGCTAAACTATAAACCAACTGTGTCTCTTTTTTAAAGTTTTCTTACACCCCTTAAAATCAAGAACGTGACCCCTAGTGAGGGCCCCAGCCCCCAGGTTGGGAACCACTGCTTTAAAAAATGACCAGAATTTAGGATTTAGTGGCATCTGGTGGTGAGATTGCAGATTGCAACCAACTGAACACGCTGGGAAGAGTAAGTAAGAAATAATGTGGAACGTTTTCCCAAATCTACAGTGCGGCCTGAATAACGAACAATCTGTCTGTAGATAAAGTTTATAAAGTTCCTCCTCACTCAATAACGAATTTAAGGGAGTTTGGTGATATCAGGGTTGCTAGTTCAGACTGCTGCTGCTGATCTCTGCAGGTAAAAGAGCACAAACAGGTGATTCTTCACAGACAGCAGGTTTCTGAAGTGGATCACAGGTTAATACCAGCTGTAAACAGTACAATACTTACATTTTTAACAGGTAATTAGTAACTGTATCAGATTACATCTTTAAAGTGACCCTGCAGTTATTATATAAGTGCATATATATACGAGCACCAATCAGGATTCAGCAACCAAAAACACGTCTGCAGAGATATTTCATTAAATTATGAAGCTGTTTTGCGTGTCACCTTCTTCTACTTTAAAATATATAACTAATATATATATATATATAAAATTATAATTAAGCATTGTTTAATCTGATCAAACTATGGGTGCTGAGGCTCCTAAAATCTGTCAGAATGAGAAGCATTAGTTCATAAAAATGTTTAAACTTCTAATAAAACTTATTTCTATGAGCACACTGAGATTTATGGCAGGAAAGACGGTTTGACTCATTTTTTAAATGAGTTTTATCTGGTAAAAAGTTATAAATTGGTGTGAAATAACTATTTTAAATAGACTAAGTTATTCTGGACGTTCAAATGAATGAAAACACCATTAAATATTTAATATGACGTCATTATACAGACAAGCACACATTGGAGTTCTGAGTGAACTAAAGATCTGTCTTTATGGTGATTATTGCATTTTTAATCATTAATTATTATTATAAAGAAAGATTTGAAGCCAGGTATTCAGGGACTTTCACTACAGAGTTGGAATCAGGATGTGGTTAGCCTAGCTTAGCATAAAGACTGGAAGTAGGGGGAAACAGCTAGCAGTCCAAAGATCAATAATACTTCTAAATTAAAGTAATTAACACGTTTTACCTCGTTTGTTTAACACAAACAGAAATGTAGCTTTAGACCGAGTTAAAGGAGTGTAAGCATCTCTGCTGGTTGCCTGGCAACATCAAAGTGACAACAGCCAATCATAGGAGAGCATGAACATGTAAGCCTTTACTTCAAAATAAGAGCACGCTGTAAACAAATCAATCCTCCAACTGCTTTCAAAGAAATAAATAATAACAATAACTCATCAATCATCTGACTCAGAAAGACAATAAGAGTATTGATCAGAAAGTGATCGGTTCTTTTAAGAAGCCCAAAAGAGCAAAGCAGAGAGATTTTAACTAAAGTCCACTAACTAGTTTGTTATTAACAATACAGATTAAACTAATACTTTTTCAGATTAATCGTCATTGATATTCTAACAGTTTTTGTAACTTGAGTTTTTAACCCCTTAATGACTAACGACTGTATGTAGCCTGTTCAGAAAACCCTCGCAGATGTTCCTCTGTTGGAGGTGGAAACTGTTGACACATGTGGCTGCAAGACAATAATCACAAAGTTTAACATCAATTTAAGATGTTAAAAACCAGATTTACACTGGATCAAAGCACATTCTACTAAAACTCAGAGGGATGAATAACGTGGCGCTCAGACTGAGAGAGTGAGTTTTATTCTGATATCTGAGTGAAAGAGAATGAGTGCTATGATATTGTGCTGCAATGATTCAATGGAGCTTCAGTCTCACACATCAACAACAGCCTCACATGAGGATGAAGATACAGACAGATCGAAATGGAAGACGTCTGCTACATCACTTATTCTTTTAAATCTCTGCAGACCAAACTCCATTTAAAAATCCAGCACTTTAATCCTAACACACACGCTGACAATCATGTGAACAATGTTGCTTTTTGAGATTTTCTGCCTCATTCTGTGTTTAATCATAAGTCACTACTGGTTACTGGTTTTATCTCTCATAGGAACACGTTATATAATGTCTCTAAAGTTCATGATGACAATACTGGACCATTAAAATGCTACCTTTTTGTTCTGGAGGTGTTTTCCTGGACAATCAAAAAGAAACCCTGGTAATGACTAAAGAAAGTATGTTCAGAAAAACAAATTAAAAATGTGTGTTTAGCTCAGTTTGTGCTTTAAGTGCAGTAAATACAATTATAAAACTGTTCCATCAGAATCAGAATCAGAAATACTTTAATAATCCCAGGGGGAAATTATTTAAGGCTGGAGCAACGTAACAGGCAGCATGCAGCTTCGCGCATGCGCACTATTTGACGACACTATTTGATGACACATTGATGGGTTAAAACAGTTAAAATGCATTATGTGTTTTTAATTCAAGAAGCTGTTGAGCTGTAGCACAAAAACAAGAAATTAAAGGCATTAAACTCAAACTGCTGAGTGAGTAGTGAACACAAGCTCTGATGAAAGGATCTGAACTCACCTGCAGTTCCCACGTTGATCCTCTGGATGTCTCTGTAGCTCCACTCTGCTGCAAACACTCTTCACTCTGTGGGAACAACTTCTGATAAAGATAATGTTTTAATACCGTTACTGTCTTCTATTAACATATCTTTCTCTTGTCCATGAGTCTGGTTCTTCTGCTTCTTCTACACAACACACTGCTGTACCTCGCACCCAACAGCAGATATCGGTTAGTGCTGCAAAACTTTAAGGGGATGTAGACCAGGGTCCATGCAGAAAATGTGACGTTTAAGAGCAAAAATATGAAACAGAGACATCACCTTCTCAGCCTCACCTGGCTGGAACAATCACCATGTGAGCACAATATAAACTGAATACGCTCCTTGGTTCTGTCCGCCACATCTCACCGTCTTCTTCTTCTCGCTGGGATTCAACACATGAACTCACTTCAGCACAACTGCTCCACACCAAACTCCATTTAAAAATACAGCAATTTAACACTAACAAGCTCATGGACAATCACATCTGCTTCCTAAAGCTGAGAGCTTCTACGAGTCATCAACTACATCAGTGTTAACTAAACATCTAGACCAAACTCCATTGAGCAATCTACCTGCAAACCCTCGTCACAGGTTGTCTGAGTGCTTAAAGCACAACTGTTTCATTTGAATCATTCCTAGAGGCCTTTAAATATAGTGCAGTGTTTCATACGTTAAAAACAAAGATTAGAGAATTGAAAACCATCTGTTTGTGTATAATAAATCGATATTTTTCCTCTTTCTTATCCCATTAATCATCGTGCAGCTCCACAGATCTGTTCTGACTCTACAGTCTGTAAAAGACTCCAACGATCCCACAATGCACCATGAAACAGAGAGAAGGAGCGCCGGTCGTAGATAAATATGATCAATTTAATATCAGTTCTCTTTAGAGCTGCAGACAGTCAGACAGACTCCCTGCAGGAACATCACAGGACTGATTCCTCTTCAGGAACTTAAACGTCACATCGTCTCTCCAAAATACCCGTACAGATTTTTGTGATGTTTTGACTTCTGGTGCATGTTGGGAATTAGGGAGATCCCCCCCCCCGTGAAAGGCCAGGATGAAGAAACCGGTGAGTTTTCATCTCTACCGCTTTGTTTCATCACCCGTCCATCACGGCCGATGATGAAAGGCTGCTCGTTACGCCTCCGGTGGACGACGGACGCTGTCGGATCTAAATTCCACATCAGACCTCCTCACTGAGACGGACAGCCAGAGGTTATTAGGAGGAGCTTCAGGTTCACCTCCTCTCTCTCTCTCTCTCACACACACACACACACACGCACACACACACTCTGTGCCTGTGATCTATGATTCATGTGCGCTCATTTAAAATAGTGTGAAATATTTAAAGTTGGCTGGTCGGCCTCGGAGGGTCGACTGACTGACCTCTCCGCTCTTATTACTGCAGGAGGAGGAGGAGGAGGAGGAGGAGGAGGAGAAGGAGGAGATATGATACGGGCAAGAAAGAGAAGAAGAGGAAGGTAATAACAGTGAGAGAGACGAAGAGGAGGCCTGATACAAAACAGGAGTGATATATGGATGGATATCGGCTCCGTGGATCAATAGTTGCCTGATAATCAGACTGAATTTAAATGTTCGGTGCCGACCTGTTTCAGTGGCTGTTTTTACTCGGAGATATAACAGAAACACCGAATATGTCTGCGTGGAGGTCAAGGTCCTCTGTTCAAGCCACAGTTTCAGTTAAATAACTTCTTCCTCTAAAGGTCCAGACAGAGTTTAATGTTCGAAATGTTCAGTCTGGGTCCTCAGCACATTAATAATCAGCTGTATATTAATAATATTTCACTAACTGTTGGACAATAAACAAAATGGCAATTTAAACTGGAAGTTGACACATTTCAACTCCCAGTGAGCTGATTTTGATTCATTATGAGTCCATTTTGAGGCTG